TTGTCCCCCTAGCAGTTTTATTAAATATATGATTTTATGTATATATTTAAACTTAGGAGTCATAAATGAGAGAAAACATTTGTCCTTTTGTGACTGGCTTAATTTATTTAATACGATTATCTCCAGTCATCTCATTTTTGTTTAAATGACTTAACTTTTATTCCTTGTGGTTGAAAATTCCTTTGTGTACGCATCCCTCCGTTGTTGGGCAGTTGGGTTTGTTAACTATTGTGACTAGTGCCACAGTAGACATTGATGGGTATAAACATCTAGTTTATATATAAACTGAGTCTCGTGGTACATCTAGTTTTACTTTTTGTGAGGAACCTCTTTTCCCCAATTTATTTTCGTGTGTGTGTGTGTGTGTGTGTGTGTGTGTGTGTGTGTGTGTGTATATGCGTGTGTGGGGGTGTGCATGTATGTTGGGAGAGTGCATGTATACATATGTGCACATATGTGTGGACACCAGAGATTGACGTGGGTGTCCTCCTAATTTACTCTTGTTTTTTGAGACGAGATCTCTCACTGAATCTAGAGTTCATCGATTTGGCAAGAGTGGCAGGCCAACAATCCCCAGGGGACTTGTGACTCTGCATGCCCAGGGCCAGGTTATAGGGGACTACCACTGTGCTAGTGCTAGGCTTGGCTTTAAATCTGGACCTGAAGGTTGAGCTTCCACCCTCAAGCTTGCACAGCCAGCACTGGACTGCCTGAGCTGTCTCCCAAGCCCCAGTTTTGAAAAACTACCATTACATTTTGTTTCCCTGTAGATGATGGTCAGGATTTCATATTCTTCCCTGGGAGCGATAAGAAAATCTTTGAAGAGGTTTTAGACCAAAGAATGTTATGATCTGAATTTAATTTTTAATTTAGGGAATTAAAAACAACCAAACAGCCATGTCTATAATCTCAGCATTCAAGAGGCACAGGCAGGAAGGAGGACTGAGTTGGGGGCCAGCCCAGGATACACAGTGGAAGTATCTCACACACTTTTGATGTGCATGTGAATGTGGTGTATGCATGTGTGTACCTTCGTGCACAGGTGTGTGTGCTCATGCATATAGGTGGAGGCCGCAGGAGGGCATCTGGTGTTTTCTTCTCTTACTCTCCACTTTCGTCCCTGGATACAGCGTCCCTCACTGAACGTGGAGTGTGTGGCTTTTCCGTCAGTAGGTCCCGGGGATCTTCCACTCTGTCTGCCCACCAGCACTGTTGTTAGACACATGCATGACCACACCCAGCTTTTTACATGCGATCCAAACTCAGTCCTTATGTTTGAATAGGAAGTGCTCTTTCTTACTAAATCATCTCCTCAGTCCCCCCAAATAATTTTAAAATGCTTAGGTTTATTTTGTTTTTAATTGTGTGTATGTGTGGGTATGTCCCCGTGTGAGTGCCGGTGCCCTCAGAATACAGAGAAGCAGGTATTGGATCCCGGGAGGTGGAGTTACAGTAAGTCGTGAGCCCCATGGTGTGGATGCTGAGAACTGAGCTTGGGTCCTCTGCAAGAGCAGCGCTTATTCTTAATTGCTGAGCCTTCTCTCCAGCTAATCCTACTGCAATGGATGTTCATAAGATCCCTTTTGACTATCAAGGGAAGCTAAAGGGATCTGCAAATCTGGAGGAAACAGAGCTTTCAGGGGTGTTGAAGGATAATGAAGAGATGGCAGAGACTTGATTACGGCTCTGGCAAGTGATGATGCGAGGTGAACAAATTCCAGAGAGAGAATAAACCGCATAGGTTCATCTGCTGCTCTACTGCTTCGGGACTGAGAAGGGAGGACACAAGGACCCTCCCTGGTTCCTGTGTGAGTAGATGGGTGAGTGGTGGGCTGCTGTCTACTCCCTGCATGCTGACCATGCCCGATGACGACGCCCGATGACCGCTGCACCACTGTTACTCTGTAAGCTTAAATACGTTGGCAGAAATGAAAAAGTCTATAGGAGAGCTGGCATATAAAGGTTAGGAACTCACCAAGTGCCGGGCAGTGGTGGCACACGCGTTTAATCCCGGCACTTGGGAGGCAGAGGCTGGGGGCGGATCTCAGTGAGTTAGAGGCCAGCCTGGTCTACAAATTGAGTTCCAGGACAGCCAGGGCTACACAGAGAAACCCTGTCTTAAAAAACAAACAGACAAAAAACAACTCACCAAGTAAAAGTTTAAAATAACAAAGAACTCTCCTAGAAAAAGGTGGACTTAGCAGAGCAGCCTCCTAACTGATGTCACAGAGTTTATGTCAACTCTGTCAGTTCATTCTTCACCTCACAGCTGGGCCTTCTCTCACCCACCCTCCCAGGACACTTCTATTTACAGCCTTCTGTAGCTAGAGTTTTCCTGCCTTGCCCACAGTCAGGACAAATCTCTGTCACCCGCCAGTCCCACAGCTGCTCAGACCCGACCAAGTAAACACAGAGACTTATATTGCTTACAAACTGTATGGCCGTGGCAGGCTTCTTCCTAACTGTTCTTATATTTTAAATTAATCCATTTCTATAAATCTATACCTTGCCACTTGGCTCGTGGCTTACCGGCGTTTTTACATGCTGCTTGTCATGGCAGCGACTGGCAGTGTCTCCCCCAACCTTCCTGTTTTCTCTATTCTCCCCTGTTAGTCCCACCTATACTTCCTGCCTGGCCACTGGCCAATCAGTGTTTTATTTATTGACCAATCAGAGCAATTTGACATACAGACCATCCCACAGTAGCCTTCAATAATTTCTCACTGGTTTTGAAATAAGACAGAACACCAAAACCTTTAAAGTGGCCTAATAAGCCCCAACATAAATGTTTCTTCCTAGCCTCAGTGCCCACTGTTCTTTCCTTCCTGAGTCCCAGGCAAATACCATAGTATTTGTTGTAATACATAGTGTCGTGTTGTAACTACTGTTCTAGTGCTCTGAAGAGTCACCCTCACCAAAGCAACTTATATAAGGAAGCATTTAACTGGGGGCTTGTTCACCCTGTCTCATTCAGAGGGTTAGTCTATTATTATCACGGCAGGCAGGCATGATGTTGGAACAGTAGCAGAGAGTTTGCATCTGATCTACAGGCAGAGAGAGAGAGAGAGACAGACACTGGGCTTGGTTGGGCTTTTAAAACTTCAACCCCCACCCCCACTAACAGGTCTACTCCTACAAGGCCACACCTCCTAATCTTTCTTAAACAGTCCACTAACTGGGAACCAAACATCCAAATAGATGAGCCTATGGGGCCATTCTCATTCAAACCACCACATGTAGTAAACCTGTTCCCTCCTGCTCCTGGGCTTGTCCCACTCCCTCTATCTGAAATGCTCTGCTGTGCCCAAGGCCAGCTGCTAGTCACATCCTCAGAGCATTATGAGTCATGGCTGGTTGCCACTTCCTTGTATGGCTCTTCAATCACTCTTCCCCACTAGACTGTAATTCCATGTGCGTCTTTTATGTGGATGGTATGTGGTATAAAGTAGGTACTTTTTAAACAAATGCACCGTTGTGAACTTGTAGGTACCACATAGCTAGTGCAGGCCGTGGCATCACAGTATAATTACATGAAATGTCTGGGAAGGCAAATCTCTACACATAGAATGTAGATTAGTAGTCGACAGGACTATGGGATGGGGAGTGTCTACAAACCAGCCCAGACCTCAATGGACTATGGGTGGGGAGTGTCTACAAACCAGCCCAGACCTCACTGAGATGACGGAAATGTACAGTTCAGTCAGTTGACTAAAGCCATTGCATTGTACATGTCAAATGAGTGAATTTTATAGTGTGTATAGTGTATCTTAAAGGAGTTTAAAATCTTTTTATATTTCATAAGTGAAGAAATGAGGTTATTACTGGAAATGAGACTTTTATCTTCTGCTAAAGCTATGTACATGTTTCTATATTACTCTATAATACTCGGTATTTTGTGGCTCTTATTCTAGACTATTCTTTAAATACTGTTCCTAGGCATATTTTAACACTTTATTGGTCTTTTGAATATATTTTCTGGATTCTTTTTTTTTTTCCCCCCGAGACACGGTTTCTCTGTGTAGCTTTGGTGCCTGTCCTGAATCTCGCTCTATAGACCAGGCTGGCCTCAAACTCACAGAGATCCACCTGGCTCTGCTTCCCAAGTGCTGGGATTAAAGACGTGCGCCTCACCACCTGGTTTCTGGATTCTTATAATCCTAGATTTGAAACATTTGCGCTAGGTATGGTACATAGGTCTACGTGTCTCTGTATAGCTTTAGGTAAGAAGTCAGTCAGTATGAGGAGCTTCCCTTGAGATACAAGCAGCTAAAACTGGGTCTAGGGTTCCTAGAAAGGACATATACTAGGGACCAAGGTCCTTCACATATAAGAACATCTATAACACTAACCAGGAAACTTTAGGATGGCCCTGGCTCTGCTCCGATTTCAGGAGGAAGGTGTAATATTGGGATGGGAAGTTTTAAAGGTAATCGGAATTTTAGGATTAATAGCTTCAATCTAAATGTTCCCAGAACCAAAATAGTGTCTGATCTTCTAGCCCCCTTCCTGGTGCGCTGTGAGCATTTCAGCTGGTGTGGTTGGAGGCAGCCCAAGGTGAGGACATTAGTGGAGGTATATGGTGTGGTGGGAAGAAACAGTCCTGGAAACTGGCAGGAAAGACCAGGAAATGAATAACAGCTAAGAGAAAGCAGTTCCCAGCTGGGGAAGGAGGGAAGGAGGGAGGGAGGGGGAGAGAGAGAGATCCTCCTCGGTCCTGCTAGAGAGCAGTCCTAGACCATGGACCCTGAGATGACCCTGAGGCTGGGACACTGATCAGAAAGCTGCTGGCCCTTCAGTTTAGGCTTGCCTTGGTGTTTGTTATGAACTCTCCCTCCATTATCAGGGGCTTCCAATTCTGAAGAAAACCCTGCAGCAGAAAAGCAAGGCAAAGGATCTGCTTGGAGTGAGCGGGCCCCAAACCTGTGAATTGGGGATGTATCAGCAGAGGCAAATTTCTCAAATGAAAACTCCATCCAATGAGAGACAGTTCACACAGCAACTTCCTATAAACTTTTTATTATTATTATTATTATTATTAGTGAAACATTTCAGTGCTATGGGTAGAAATAAAACCAGGTCAAGAATCACAAGAAATGAGCCAACGGTGTAAAAAGAACATAACGAAAGAACATAACAATCATCCTTGTTAAAATCCGACACAAGCAATCTACACCAGTAACAATGCTCAGGGGGCCTTTTGAAGAATTCATACTGCAAACAAGTTAAAAATCAGCCGCCCCCCCCCCCCCCGTAAGTGAAGACCCCAATAGGGGTTAGTTGTGCGGTGCTTGTTCCATTTGATATTAGTGATCTCTGTAGAACACGAGGAAGTAAGGTCTACTGGGCAGAGCCTGGCGCCTACCCGGAAATGCCCAGACCCTTCTTGCCCTGTGCGTTCCTACTTCCCTGCCATCCTGTGGTGTGAGAATGCTGATGGCCCCACAGCCTTTGGGACCCTTCCAGGGTGACAGTCTCAAGAGAACACAGAGAACAGCTTGCTATTTCCAACCCCACACAAAAGGGGTACATTTGTTGTTAGTCAACCTATAATCCCGAGTGCGGCTTGTGGGTTTGCCATGGACCTTTTAGAAGGAAATACCAAACGTGATTTGAGCCATCACTGTTAGTAACCACGGCACTAATGAAGGATTAATCCGGTTTTGGTCTTCTTTTCTATGTGAGGTTCAGTCTACTATGTACATCATTAACTGCCGTCACGTCTGTGTTTAAAAAAATCTCCTCAGAGATGATTATATCCTGAAAATAGGAATGAACCAACTAGTATGCACTGGCTTACCAGTTTATTAGTGTGGATAAGTAGTTGCATAAAGACAGTCGGGGGTAGTGCACAGCTGTAATCTCAGCTCCCGGGAGGCCGAGACAGGAGGCTCACCATAAGTTCAAGGTCAACCTGTGCTACGTAGTGAGTTCTAAACCAGCCTGAGCTACAGAGTGAGACCCCGCCTCAACGCATGAAGACCAGGATATGCGAATTACCTAGTTAAATATTGATAAGGTCTAAAGATATTTGTCGTTATTAAGGATCAAGTATTTTCAATTTAGTTTTCACATTTTGGTGGTTTGGGGTATTTAATGTTTCTACCTTGATTGGTTGGAAAGGTGAAAGTTTAACAAATTGTCCCTTCAAAAGGGGACACAGTAGCCAAGCATGGTGGCTCACTGATCCAGCACTCAGGAGGCAGAGGCAGGAGGATCTCTGTGAGTTCAGTGCCATCCTGGTCTACACAGTGAGTTCCAGAACAGCCAGGGCTACATAGAGAGACTCTGTCTCAAAACCCCAAAATAAAAAAGAAGGGAAACATCACATATTGCTTTAGTGTCAAGAAAGGAAAATTTGGGCCTGTATATTAAAGCAACATTTTTACCTCCAAATATGTATGTGAGATCTCAGGTTTTTTTAAAAATTTTTTGTTTACATTGAAATTCAGTTTTCATGAAATTATATCAAAGGTTGGCCAGCCAACATACAGGGTTCCTCATTAAAAACCAATGGTGGGCCGGGCGGTGGTGGCGCACGCCTTTAATCCCAGCACTCGGGAGGCAGAGCCAGGCGGATCGCTGTGAGTTCGAGGCCAGCCTGGGCTACCAAGTGAGTTCCAGGAAAGGCGCAAAGCTACACAGAGAAACCCTGTCTCAAAAAAAAACCAAAAAAAAAAAAAAAAAAAACCAATGGTGGAGCTGGGCGGTGGTGGCGCACGCCTTTAATCCCAGCACTCGGGAGGCAGAGCCAGGCAGATCTCTGTGAGTTCGAGGCCAGCCTGGGCTACCAAGTGAGTCCCAGGAAAGGCGCAAAGCTACACAGAGAAACCCTGTCTCGAAAAACCAAAAAAAAAAAAAAAAAAAAAAAAAAAAAACCAATGGTGGGCTCTGAGAATCAAAGACAGTGCCCTCCACAATGGCTGAGGCCTGAGCGCTGTGACGCCGCTGTCCTTCAGCGACCTTCTGAAGAGAAGTAGCTGGCTCCTTTGCAGACACCTCATCTGAAGGACTTTCTGTCTAGCACTGTAAACACTTGTTAGAAAAATGATTGTCCCAGGAAGCAGAGAGCACTTAGTGAGTGACGGTGGGGGGGGGGGGGGGGGGGCACACAAAACACTGGCTGGGCCTAAATCTAAGGAATGAATTTAAAATTTTCAAAGTCCTGTCCAGACGAAATGCCTTCCTGGATCTGTATGTAACGTAAGCTATGGGCAGAGAGACTTTGCAACATTTATAATTTTACAAATACAAATTCAGTATTTGGCAGTCATCCTATTTGGTAAAGATACCGGCGGGTGGGGGGTGGGGTACGTGATATTGATTCCATTCTCCCAGAAGCATCTACATCAAAACAGCTTCGACGGAAAATGACAGTTAACCTATAAATGCTATAACTCACACTGAACTCTATTCTAAAGGGACCATCTGTCTTACCCTCACCAACGTTGCTGGGACATCCGCTTGCTCTACAAAAGCAAAACTTCAAAATCCTCAGGAGCTCAAAGCTATCTCCTTACAGACACCGCCCCACCCACGCCCTGTCCCGAGTGACTCCCACCCACTCTAGACTAGTCCAAAGACAGTTATTTTCCTGAAGGGATGACACATTGGAGGACAGAGCGAAATGCAGCATGTGATGTCTCCAAGAGGGGAAGTGGACACGTTTGTGTGGTGCATCATATGAAGCTATCATTTTATCCTGGTGCTACACACTTCCTCCTGTGGAAGGAGTTGAACGGAGAAGAACAGGAAGCCATACATAGATATATATTTTGAACACAGTTTGGAGAATGAAGCATACTGAATCAGGTCAGGTCAACAACTAACGTTAACAAGCGATGCAGACTTTGTATCTACAATGGGGGTCACAAAATCCCACAGTTCCCAGAGCCCAACCACAAAGTTTCTACACAAGTTTATTAGATACTTCCTAGACACATTAGGACAATTTCAGAGACATGATTCTATAAAGCATCCCGGTCGGCCATGTCACCCTGCTCACTACCCTCCGTCCAGGAAGCCCTCCTCACTTGCCAGCATTTCAGCTTCTCCCTCTTCTTGACAGGCCAGGAGCCTGAGAGGATTCAGGGTTTTCCCTGTCCTGGTCCAGATCAGGGCAGTTCACACGTTCTCTCACCAAACTCAGGCGACAGGTAAGTTCGTTTAGGTTCGTATGAGGGGCGCTCTTTCATCTGCCGTTCCCTGTGACAGGCAACAGAGATGCAGAGGTTAAACGTTCACGTCGGAACGTCTGTCCTGGTGTGAAAAGTTGAGGCGAGGTGGGGATGGAGGAGGTGGGAGGAGAAGCCGGTTCCGGCCAGTTCCCTCCACCCTCAGCTGCCTTTGCTCTTTACGGCTCTAACCTGACCTTGCTGGAGGACGGCTCTTCCTCTCCAGCCCCTAACACCAGACCTGCGCTCTCCTCTCTGCTCAGGACTCCAACCCTTAGCGTCCTGGACCGAAACAGCCTCCTTCCTGATTTGTAACCTACCTGGGAGCCGTGTCTCAGAAGCTGTAGATGTTCACTAACACTCAGGAAAGACCTGAAGATGGCTAATGACTGCTAATTAACATTGCTAGGTCTGTTTATATCTAGGAAAATTCCCTGGTAGATCCATAGATGGCAATGGTAAGCGTTTGCCTTATCGCTAATTCAGGCTTGCCTGACGAGCATGAGTGAAAGTGACGTACCGGCTGGGTTATCCAAGCCAGTATCACTCACACGGTTTCAACCAGTTTAATTCATCTCCTACTTCACATTGCTCAGACAGTTTAGCAGGATAATGGAGGGAGAAATAGGTTCTAAAAGCAGAAGTTGCTGAGCATTTTTAAGAAGGGTGCCCAGGCCAGGCCTGGAGGTTCAGGTCTGTAATCCCAGTCACCAAGGAGGCTGAAACATGAGATTCACAAGTTCAAAGCCTGGCTGGACCACAAAGCAAGTTCAAGGCCAGCCTGAGCAGCTCAGAGCGACTCATCTCAAAAATGCGCTTGTTTTTAAGGACTAGGCATATGTTTCAGGGCTAGAGTGTTTGCCCGGTGTGTGTGAGGCCCTTGCTTCAACCTTTAGTTCCACAGAAAAGAAAGGCTTCTACAGAAGAGCATCATGAGGAATTCAGACTCCTGGTCACTTGAGGGGCTGATCTGAGCCAGTTTGTCCTATTCCTTCTGGAAATAAATGATTCTCATGTAGCCTCCTGTTACCACTGCTATGGGATCTCAACCATAGCACCTTCAGATACAGCAGGGATTCTTAACAAGCATGCCACTGCCCCTTTGCTCTACAATATTAGAATTATTTTATCATATATAATAACAAAGTTTACTGAGTAACACTGAGCCTCCTCTGTGCTTTCTACATTGTCTGATCGTCTCCAGAAACTCACAAGGAGACCCTATCATCATTCTATTTTACAGATAATAAATTGAGGCCATTCCAATGTTTAATGGCAGAACTGGGATTTGAACCCAGGCAGTCTAGCACTAAAGCATTATTCTTCTTTCAAATTATTGTTTTCAAAGATGTGAAGTTACCTCCTCTGGAATATATCCAGGAATTCCAAACCCACCAAGAAAGCCTCAAATACCAAATGGCACCCTTCTATCACCCTGTCTTTCTCAACACACACCAGCCCTGCCTACAACTTGGTTCATTGGTAATACAACCACAAAAATCAGTGTTCCATAAAACCCCCAAATCCACCCAAAGGAGCCAGCTGACAGCCCTTCAGTAAAAATTATTGAGGAATTCCTCAGGTAAACTTATCAATAAGTGTGGAATATTCCTTTATACTATGTGAATATATGTTGCTGTGATTGGTTTAATAAAGAAGCTGACTGGCCAATAGCTGGACAGGATAAGGTTAGGCAGAAGAGCCAAAGAGAATGATGGGAAGACAAAGGGCCAAGTCTTGAGCAGATGCAGAGAGAAACAAGATGGGCATGCCATACTAAGAAAAGGTACCAAGCCATGTGGCAAAGCATAGATAAGAAATATGGGTCAATTTAAGTGTACAAGTTAGCTAGTAACAAGCCTGAGCTATTGGCCAAGCATTTATAATTAATATTGAGTCTCCCTGTTGGTTATTTGGGAACTGGTGGGCAGGAAAGAAAAGTCTGCCTCCAGACAAGAGAAATTCTCCCAGCCAGCACTTACCTCATCCATGGACCCCTGTCCTCGGCATGCAAGCCACGTGAACACCAAGCCAAAGAACACGCCCAGTGCCATGATGATGTAGGGTATGTTGGTGACTATCAGAGTTGTGTTAGTCACGGACTTCAATCGACTTGCAGTCTCTTTGTCAATGAGAACACTCTGAAGGGGTAAGAAATAGTATTATCTTGAGAACTAGATAGCCTCTGTGTATGTGTGCATTTCAAACAATATAATACAATTTGATTTTATAAATATATATATAAGCAAGCCAGATATACTGAAAAATCACTTAAAATTAGAATAACGAAAGAGGGAATTTACTCATATATTTTCTCTTGAAGACAACTATAACTCTTAGTATCTTTTCTCTCTTTTCCAATTTATGTTGAGAAATGTTGAGATAATGTGCATTATGGTTAGAGTATGAAATGTCCCTACAAGCTCATGTTTTAAATGTTGATCACCATCTTGTAGTACTGTTTTTGTTTGTTTGGATTTTATTTTGAGATAGGATCTCATTCTGTAGCCCTGGCTAGCCTCGAACTCACTATGTAGACCAGTCTGGCCTTGAACTTGTGGCACTACCTCTGGAGTGCTGGGGTTACAGGTGTGTGCTGCCACGCTGCACTTCTTTTGAAGATCATGGAGGCTTTAGGAGAGGGAGGCCTGGCTGGAGAAGTAGCTTCCTGATTCACTGTGATGTGAGGAATTCAGCCACGTGCCCCTGCTGCCAACCACGCCCATCAACATGGCCTCCTTGTCACCATGGACTGAAGTCCTTCTGAAATCATGAGCCGTTATAAACCTTTCTGTTGCAGGGACACACAAGTAAATAATATAATAATACCCTTTGCTTGGCATCAGGCGGTTACTACAACATTCACCTCAGCATTACCTCATTCTAGAAGTGTCTCTGGCTGCCTCAGGCCTCTGTTACTCTCCCTAGAACCTCATCTGTTGTCCTTGTAACCAGCATAACTGTTCACCTGTGTATGTGAGTTCCTTCAAGACAAGACACCTCAGCCACCTCCACCCAGGGGAGAGCACCCAGTACACAGTAGGTGCCTAATAAATACTGGCTGACTGAATGAATGGATGAAACTCTACAAAAGCAGTACCCAGGCAGTATCATTCCTCTCCTGAGTCCACATTACGGTCACCAGTCTCAACAAAAATGGTTCAAGTGAGTTGTGGTGCTAACAAGAATTGAAGAGAGAATTCCTAACAGAAAAAACCACTCTGGAACAGCATTGTAATATGAGAACAGAGCTTTCGTCACTCAGTGTGATGGGTGAGACATCAAAAGAGCACATGTCCCTAAGATGACAACAATCCTGATTAGTTTGCACTGACCAGTGTGTGTGTGTGTGTGTGTGTGGCGGGGGGTGCGGGCAGGTTCTGTGGCAGGTTTTTCTGTAACTGTCCCAGAATGTCAGAGCCGGGGCTTCCTCCTGACAGCGGTTTCCAGTGTCATTTCCAGGCCTAACATTGTTCTTTTCTCCCTCCCCTTCCCCTCTTCTCCTTCCTTCCTTCTTAAGACGGGATCTCACTAGGTAACCCTGGTTGGCCTTAAACTCAGAGATCCACCTGCCCCTGCCTCTTCTCCAGTACCAAGATTATGGGCATGTGGCACTCTGCCTGACCTTGATATGTAATTTTAAAAGCATTTTATTTGTTTGTTGTTGTTTGGCGGTAGTAGTGGTGGCAGTGGGGTGTGTGTGTGTGTGTGTGTATGATGGAAGCAAGAGTCGGGGTTGATCCCCTTATCCACCCTGTGGGTTCTGGAGGCCAAACTCAAGTTCTTCAGCATTGATGGCAGGCACCTTTACCTGCTGAGCCGGCTCACTGACCCCTGACACGTGACTTTTACAGACGCCGTCTTAAGCTGTCAGGGCTTCAGTGGAGGCCAAGGCTTCATGGGACAGAGCTTGGAGTGCCCTCCTCACCTCTCCAGCTTGTTCCCCACATAAGCAGCACCTCAGAAGGGCGTTATTCAACTGCTCTTGAGACAGAAAATGTCCAAATAAATTCAGACGCAGGCCCCTCCCACGAGTGTTAAAGAGAGCTTTTCCGGGGCAGCTTCTATTTTAAAAAGTCACCTTTGAGGCTGGAGAGATGACTCAGCAGTTAAGAGTATCACTGCTCTTGCAGAGGACCTGGGTTTAGGTCGGAGAACCCACATAGAGCAGCTCACAACCCCCTGTAACTCTAGCTCCAGGGGCTCAGATCGTGTCCTGACTCTGTGAGCACCTGCATTTACACTCACACGTGCACACACGAACACACATGATTAAAAACAAGTCTTCGTTTTAAAAAAGCCACCTTTTCCTCTTTTCAGAACTTAAATGGCACATCACCACAGCAGTAGACATCCTAATGGAAGTATCCCAAGCTTGGGCCGTTTAAACAGACTTCCTCCTCTTTCGGGACTTACCTCATTGAGATACATCACTGGGAAAACCATAGTCCTAATGTCTCCCGTTTCCCTACAAAGGCAAAGGATGGCATTATTTCATAGACATCCTCATGGAAATATCTCTCACCTGGAGAGACGTGTTCACACAAAAATGACAGTACACTTAATTCACTCAGTTACCTAGAATTGACTGTGGGCTTCTTAGTTATCTTCGAAGACACATATAAATCAGAAATCAAGACCATACCATTATCAGCCAGCCATGCAAACTGCACGTCTATGTGGTATTTTATCAAAGCCTAAGATAACAGATACAGCCATACAAGGAGCACCATTCAGTGGGAGCCCACAGAGGTTTCCTAGTGAGATCTGAGCTTGCTTCACCCAGCAGGGCTGCATTAGGGGATGGCTTGACCATGTGCGTGGTCACCAGGTGTTTGGAATGTTCTGCACTTGGCTGTGCTGGGGGGAGGTCTTTGGCTCCACCCCTTGGCATTCCTTTAAATAGTCCTTTAGCAGAGACAGAAGGGGCTGGTGGGTTTTGACCCAGGCCCTCCCGAGGCTAGTCTGTGTTTCTGTCTGTCTCTCTTCCTCTATATTTCTATCTAAATATTTCTCAATTCTCCCTGCTCAAGAGTACCCTGGGGGAAAAAGTAGGGGCAGGCCCCCCAACAACTTCGGAAGTTTCTAGGCCACCTACACCTGTCTCCGCAAGAAGGGCCCACTGACCACTGTTTGTCCACTCTCTACTCAGTAATTTAGGGGCGTTATTTTATTCAGTTCTTACAGCAGTAACATGCCATGGCTCTCATTATGTACAGGGTAAAAGAGGGGAAATCTTAATAGAGACTAGGTAATATGCCCAAGATCACCGTGAGTGAGCGAGCAGTGGAACCAAGGTAGTCATTCCATTTTGAGTCTGAGGTTCTAGCTTATTACTATAATATACTGCCTGAAAAATACACAGACAGGTGCCAGAAGACATCGCTGTAACCATGTGTGCTTCTTAGAAGGAACCCATAACATGGGATTAAATCTGGAGAGTTCAGTGGGGAAATACATCATTATAGATGGGTGGGTGTGTGGATGGATGGATGGATGGATGGATGGATGGATGGATGGATGGATAGATAGATCAGATTAGATAGCAGGCAGATGAATAGACACATAGATAGACAACACATGTGTGGTTTTATGTCCTTGAACTTGTGATCCTCCGCCTCAACCTCCTGGGCAGCTGGGATCACAGGTCTGTGCTGCCAGGCTCAGCAAGACCTTTGACCTTTGCATTTAGCTTCTACAGTGAGAGACTCTGACACTGAAGGGATCCCCTGTCACCTTCACATTCTTCTCTGGGAACTCAGGAGCCAAGTGTATATACATATCTGGTACTGTCCACATTACTAATACACGGGACACTCAGTACCTATAGAAGGTTGGTCAGAATTATGTATTTGATAAGTATTTCCTCAGATCTAAGAAAAATCCTACCGGCAAGTCTGGGCGGGAAGCTGTACTTGGGGATTCTCACTGTGGAGCTGTTTATGATGAAATGTGGGAGAGAAAGGCTGGATCAGCCTACCGCCACCGTCCAGATGAGAACTTGTAGTGGCTGAGCCCACGCAGAAGCAGAGAGAGTACCAAGAAAAGATACGGAAACCAGGGTCCGGAGTGGGGGGCATTGCCAGGGGAGTGGATAAATGCCATTCTGGAGCCACAGCCTCACCAAATGCGGGAGTCCCAGCAAGTCACTCAAGTGCTGTGTCTCCGTCCTCTCAGGTGTACAACAGGGACAATGGACAGATGTAAGCTGACGCATGTAAAGTGCTGACTGTGACCCCTGATGCAGGGACAGTACTGCATAAAGAGTGATTAGTACAAGGCCAAGGTGCTGTGAAGATTGAGACCATGCCCCACTGTTGAGGAGTTAGAAGTGGGCTCTACTCGCCCTGGTACTATCTATGCCTACCCGAAAGTCACGAGGCAAACCCCACCTCTGCCTCTGCAGGAAGAAGCAACACTTACACAAAGTCATCCAGTTTTTTCACGTAAGTGTTGATTTGGAATCTCTTGGCTGCTCTTAAAATAATTCCAGTCAACTGCAGATAAAAAGAGAGGGAAAAAAATTAGTATTTTTTTTTTCTAGCCACATTTTCAACAGAGTGTAACTCTGTGGTTCTGACCCACAGGGACCCATTGCCACATTTGGCAGGCGGAGTGAACAAGGGAAAACTGGTCCCCACAACAGAACTACAGGTACTGATTGTGCTGGGTGGCCTGGGCTTTGTGGGGGATGTGAATCCCTGGGAATCTGCTAAAATGCAGATTCTGATTGGTAGATCAGGGTGGAACATGAAACAAGGCATTTCTAGTAAGTTCCCAGGACAGCGCCACTTGGTAGAGCAGAGCGTGGAGCACTCCATCAGAGGCCACAAATTCTTTGTTGGATATGGACATGTGGGCAGTTGTCCAGAGCTAAGGGGAGGATGGCTTCCAAGTCCAGGGCTCCCCGTGCCAGAGTACAGGAAGCATGAGGCACAGCCCCAGACGTGTGCTGAGGGCACAGGACTTCACCTATCCCTTGGTGACAGGCCCTGCTGTTTGGCTGATGAGAGGGAACTCCATGGCTAACAGAGAAGAAATGCAGTCACCCTTGAGGGGTGGGGCTGCAGCTTAGTTGCCACAGTGCTTGCCTAGCATTCGAGAGGCACACGATAGCCCAAGCTGGCCTCGAACTTGTGATCTTCCTGCCTCAGCCTGGGTAACTGGGATCACGGGTCTGTGCCGTCAGGCCCAGCAAGACCTTTGACCTTTTCATTTAGTTTCTACAGTGAGAGACTCTTACACTGAAGGGATCCCCTGTCACCTTAACATTCTTTTCTGGGAACTCAAGAGCAAAGTATATATATATGTGTGTGTGTGTGTGTGTGTGTGTGTGTGTGTGTATATGGTACCGTCTACATTAATAATATATAGGACACTCAGTACCTATAGAAGTTTGCCAAAAGCGAATGAAGGTAATATTCCCATTTAGATCTGTGCATTCTAACAGAGTACACAACGGATCTATAATTCTGAAGGTGAAAAGCATTTGTGTCCAACAGCAGACTGACTAGGTTACATGGGTCCGGCCTCAGCTGGCTTTGGTGACTGAATTTATACTGCCGTTTTCATTTCGTTTTGTTATGCCGGATTGTGCCTAGGGCCTCACGCAGGCTGGGTCAGTACTCTATCACTGGGCTCTGTCCCTGGCCCCATGGCTTTGCTCAGCTTCCTTTCTCTCCTTTAAAACAGGTTTGCAGGTTTCTGCAGATGGCATCCACGGAGTTAGGACTTCCCATTAAGAGGCTTCGGGCCACAGCGCACACGATCTCCTTCTGCCCTCTTGAATATCCACAGAAGGCAGTGTGTCTCTCCATGCTTTGGACTAAGAGAACCTGCGCATGCACACGAGGAAGTGTGTACTCACAGGATTAATGTCCACAAATGTCTCATGCTCTTCCTTGTTTGGGCGCATGCCTTTAATGGCAGAAATGAACTTCTCATCGGCTTGGTAAAAGTGTGGGAAAGACATGAAGATGGGCGCACCTGCGTGGTAAGGGACAGAGAAATGAATGGTGCTGATGTTTTTGTTTTTGTTTTTTGTTTTTTTTCGAGACAGGATTTCTCTCTGTAGCTTTGGAGCCTCTCCTGGAACTCACTCTGTAGACCAGGCTGGCCTCGAACTCACAGAGATCCACCTGCCTCTGCCTCCCGAGTGCTGGGATTAAAGCGTGCACCACCACCGCCCGACAAATGAATATACAGTTCCTGACCACAAAAACTGGTTCCTAAAGGGAAAAGAAAAGTCATACCCAAGCGAGCTTGGCCAGGCTCACTCCCTCTCCGTAGCTCCTAGTCCAATATTTACACTGCATTTTCCGCCACCTGATGTGTCCCACATAATTTTACTGTACATCTTAAACCACAGTCCTGGTCACATTTATACTTAAACCGTTACTGAAGCTTTAAGTATGCCTTTTATCTATTTGTCTGTGTTAAGTAATGCTCCAAGACACTCTAGAAAACGAAAGCCCTTATCCTCGTTTTGCTCTTGAAGAAGCCGAGGTTCCCGAACAGGACCAAAATTTCCCAGGCACTGGTAGCTGTGCAGGACGTGTTCTCCCTGGCTGAGAAGGTCCCTCCTCAGAGCACACCCAACTGACTATGAAGTTTGCGCTGTTGTTGCTCTGTTTGGGGTTTCGCTGTTTGTTTGAGACGGGGGGTCTTATTCTGTAGCTCAGGCTGGCCTGGAACTCACTCCATAAGACCAGGCTGGCCCAGAGCTCTCAGAATTCCTCCTCCTTCTGCTTTCCAAGCGTTAAGATTACAGGCATACACGATCATGCCTGGCTTTTGATTTTGAGGAAAGAAAAACAGATCGTTTTACACCAATGGACCTTGTTCTCCTGGATAGCATAGTGTAAGAACAGTTTAGAGTCTCCCCTGTTGTTCATGGTCGCACATGCCCATCAGCCCGGCACTTGGCAGGAGGTTTAGCAGTTCAAGGCCAGCCGTGCTCACATAGTGAACAAGGCCAACTTGGGTTAAATGAGAACCTGTCTCAAAAAGGAAAATTTTTAAAAGGTTGTGTGGCTGCTGTAGAAGCAAGGCCACTCCTCCATGTTCTATTAACTTCTGTGCTTCCTTACTTAGAAGACACATTGAAGAGTGCCAATCCCAATTCCTGGTCAAGCTGAGTTAAGCCCAAACAGGAACACTGGAAACCTATTCACAAACAACGGGCAGGCCTGGACAAGTCCCAAGCTTTGTCCCTATTTGGGTATTATCTTGAGCTGCTGACTGTGGGGCTGGCTCAGTGGCCCGGGCTTGGCATGTCCTATCTCCCTTGTCCCTGCTGTGAGGAGCATTGAAGATTGACTGTCCTTTGTGTCCTCAGAAACTGCCTGCTCAGTTCCAAGAAGCAGGGACCGACACCTAGTTCTTAGTTGAGTTATTAGGACAGACTGCCATGATACTTGCCCAGCCTCCTCAATAAGACGAAGATATTAAGTTGTGGCCATCGTCCCAGGACCCAGAAGGCTGAGACATAAGGATGGAGAGTTTGATGCCAGCCTGAGCTACACAGTAAGACCTTCCTCAAAGCAATCAAAACCAATAGCAAAAACCAGAGGACACTGCACACCTGTCAGGTAAGGCCCTGTGGGTAATTCTGCTGTGACATCTCACTGTTGAAGTAAACCTTTAGGACTAGAGAGATGGCTCAGCAGTTAAGAGCACTGACTGCTCTCCCCAAGAACCAGGGTTTGATTCCCAGCACCCACATGGCAGCTCACAACTGTCTATGACTCCAGTTCCAGGGGATCTGACGCCCTCACCCAGGCATACATGAAGGCAAAATCACCAATGCATAGGAAATAAAAATTATATGTAAATATATGTATATATTATGATATAACATATGTCTACATTATATATAAATTAACCTTCAAGACAAAGAAGACGCCTTTTGTCAGCTGCGGCGTTGATGATTCTCCCTCATTCATGGACAGGACAGAGAGCTGAGGTGTCAGGAAACGAGGGGGAGAGCAAGATGCTCAGAGGGTAGCCACACAAGCCTGAAGACCCCAGGGAGCTCCTGGGAGCCCACATAAAGGTCTGAAGAAAGATCTGACTCCACTGAGTATCCTCTGACAGCCCCATGTGCCCCACGGCATGCGTGCGCACCCACTATACACATACCAATAATAATGCATTCAAATTAAAGAGAAAAGAAACACTAGGAAACTCAGAACAGCTTAAAACTAAATCTGCTTCAAAATCTTTGGGAATCTTAGCCAAGGTGTGTACTACCAAAACTAGTAATTTTTAAAATTTTTGACAGCTATCATCATCATTATTGTTGTTATTGTCATCATCCACACAGGGGACAGCGATGTAGCCCAGGCTGGCCTTGAGCTCACTATCCTGCTTCTGCCGTCTGGTCCTGGGATTGCAGGCATATGCCAAAATATTATTCTTTAAAGGTTGGCCTTGCACTATATATCAGGTTGGTGACAAATTCTTCGTTGCACACCCCGAATCTGTCTGCATTCTAGACGCCTGTAACATGACCTCTCTAGAAGGTCTTACCATTCTTGCAGATGCTGACATTCAACACGCCTGAGTCCATGCAGTTCCCTTCGGGTACACAGAAGCCAGCATTCTCGGAGGTATTGGCTAGTATTTCTGCAGGCACCTTATACCGAAAAGCAGGCAATCCCTCCACACTCTCAAAACCACTGAAAGTTATATGTACCGACCTGACAGGAGGGAAGAATACAAAGTCAATGTAGAAATGTGGCTTACTGGCAGAATGCTTGCCTAGCACCCGTGGAGCCCCGAGTTCAAATCCCAGCTCTGCACAAACAGGGTGTGGTGGCTCACATCTGTAGGTGTAGCACTAGAAGGGGTGGAAGTAGGAGGGTGGGAAGTTCAAGGTCATCAGAATCTGCATCAGGCCTCTGGCAGGTTTGAAGCCAGCCTGAGATGCATGAGCCCCTGTCTCCAATAAATAAATAAATAAATACATCTGTAAATAAATAAGAAATACAGAAAGACAGAGAGAAAGACAGAAAGAGTGAGAAAAGGGAGGGGAGGGGAGAGAAGGGGAGGGAAGGGGACAGGATGGGACGGGACGGGAGGGGAGGGGAGGTAGAATGGTTAAATAACTTGCCCAGGGCCACACAGCTGCTTAACTAGTGTTAAGACCAAATCAATAGCTACTTTGCGGAGTAAAGTGTGCCTCTCAGTGTGCCTCCGGCATGTACATGTATGTGCATTCCCATGCACGATGAGCGTATCCGCTTCTATCCCTCACACTTTGTCCTGCAGACAAAGACCGTGTTTAAAGTTCCTACCTGCAGAAGTCAGACGGGAAGGCGTAGAGGACTTCGTCCTTGGTTATCAGTGGATGAAAAGAATCCCCATCTGTCCCGTTGATCATATTGCACTCGTCTGTGGTCCACCAGTCCAGCGACCTAGGGTTGGTAAGTACAAGAAAGACTAAAGACGATCACGTTGGACTGTAGCATCTCTTAATGGTCAGTACCTTTCCAAGTTTTAGAGGGGCTGGCGCCCTCAGCATCTTATCCATAAGCAGGCACGAAAGTGCCAGGAACTAGAACAGAGGAAGGAAAAGTAGGCTCCAAACCAAAACCACTTTTGATAAAGACACCAGCCACAAATTCCTGTTTCCTTCCTCCAAAAGAAGTGCATCCTGCATGGTGTTTAGAAATACTGATTTAGGAACCAACAAGATGGCTCAGTGGGGAAAAGACCCTGGTCTGTAAGACTCACAACCAGAGTTCAATTTCTGGAACCTATGTAAAGGTGGAGGAGAAAAACGATGGCCACGAAGTTGTTCTGAGACCTCTGCATGCATTTCGGGGCACACTTGCCCCCCATCCCCACCCCTATCCCACATCATATACAAACACAACAACAACAGAAATACTGATTTCCTTATGGCAGTAACCCAAGCAGGCATTAATAACAGCCTTGCTCATAGCTAGGCCAGGGGCCGATGGGCTTTGGATAGAGATATCCCATTCTTTAATATTCATGAGAGACCATTAACTACTCTGTCACTAGTTCTCACTTCCAAAAATAACAGACTTGCCTAGCACAACAAGAAACGCTAACACTGAGTTGGTGTCGCACATTGGGAGCACAACTGAGATAGCATGCTTGAATACTGGTACATGTAGTGGACTAGACAGACGGTCACGATCCCTCCAGGTCCTTATGTTGAAACCCTGCCTCTGTGGAGTCATCAGGTCATGAGAGGGGAGCCCTGACATAAGACTAGTGACCTTAGATGAGACCCTAGGGACCAGCTCAGCCCTTCCACCACGTGTATGAAGTTAAAGTGAGAAGACGCCCCTGTAAGGAACTGCATCCCACCCACCCCCACCATCGTGAGAAGACGGCCCCTGTAAGGAACCGTATCTCCCCACCCCCTCCAGCGCAAGAAGATGGCCCCATAAGGAACTGCATTCATCCCCACCCACCGCCCCCAGCATCAGAGCTTCTGGGATATTGGTCTTGGACTGCTCAGCATGTAGAACTGAAGAATAAATTCCTGCTTTTTATAAGTCATGTGGCCTATGATAATTGGTTATCACAGTCAGAATGGACTGACACAAAAGAAAGGAGAGGGCAAAGAGTAAATAGCTATCCTCCCAATTTTAGGTCCAGATGGTTCTCTGAGTTCCTGCACTGAGGGTGTTTGCAAAGCGAAAACAGGAAATAAAGGTTGACAAAACACGGAAGGAAAACATTCAGAGAGCCCAGACCACATTCAGAACACAAACGAACATCTTCCTAGACAAAGAGATGGTACGTATACAGTGGTAAGCAGAGCTAGACTGATGCTCTTCCGCACCCTGGGACCCAGGAGAAAGCAGCAGGGGTCCATTTCTGCATTAATAAGGAGAGAGAGTATTCCACCAAGGGCTTGAATCAGGGTCCAAGGAGCAAAGACTCCCTCTCATCAAAAGAGGCCAAAGAAAGCAGCATCTCCCTGCTACGTGGACCTTGGTGTTGGCTGGTGGCTGGAGAGTAAGAGGACTCAGAAATTGCCTCACAGCAGAACCTGAACTAAGCTGTCCCTGGATTTCTCCGATGTCATGGTGGGAGGCACACCTTGTACACTGGTTCTGGACTACATGGAGGCTGACTGGTACATAAGGAGAGATGAGGGGAGAGACAGAAAAGCACACACACACACACACACACACACACCCCAGACTGGCACATAAGGAGAGATGAGGGGAGAGACAGAAAAGCACACACACACACACACACACACACACACACACACACACACCCCAGACTGGCTTCCCAACTGAAACAATTGTGCAAATCATTTTTTAACTGAAACATGAAGGACAGAAAACAACGTCACACGGAAGTGAATTCAGGCTAATTCCATAAATGTGTGCTCAGCATCACAAAGTGAAACAGTAACATTCTTAAGCGTAACGGAGGCTAGGGGCTGACTGGAGAAACGGCTCAGGGTTTAAGAACCCTTGCTGCTCTTTAGAGGATCTGGGTTAGGGTCCCAGCATCCAAATGATGGCTCACAACCCTCTGTGACAACCTTCAATTCCAGGGACTCTAATCCCCTGGGGCCTCGTGGGCATCAGAAACACACACAGTGCCCAGGCTCACATGCAGACAAAGCAGTCACACATATAAAATAAACCTCTTTTACACAGAAAACAGTGGAGCTTAACAGTGGAGCTTAGTGTGCATCTCTTGGCCGACGTGCATGAGGCTCTGAGTTTGGTCTCCAATACCATAAAAAAAAAGAGGTCAGTGGGTGATCATATTAAAAGAAGAAAATATGAAACAAAACCAAGAAGACTGAAAATAGAAAACTTGGGATACAAAAAAAATGCTTTGGAAAAAATCAACGGGGTAAAACTCTAGACTGTAGCTGAAGAGAAAACTCGTGAATTAGAAGACAGTTCTAGGGAATTTACATAAATACAAGATCAGAAAACGAAAATTTTAATAATCAAGACACAGAGACTGGATAACGAGGAATTCAGAGGCTACGAGGTGGGGAAACGGGACTGAGGCAGACGAGCACAGTGACTAGTACCCGGACTCTCCTGGCTGGGCTACACACACACACACACACACACACACACACACACACACACACACACTCGCACGTCTCCATGCAATCATCAAGCAACCTGCTGGCAACCTGGGACCCTGACTTGCATCAGGCTGCACTTAAGCAATGGAAATCAGTTACTTCCTTAGCAACGCATTACTAATTCCTTATTTCCATTCCAATGTATCCTGAACCGTGGGCAGTGGGCTGATCTGGTCCTCTAAGTGCTAGTTTAGGGAGAATCCCCTATATATTATCTTATGCCTACGTAGAGTTGGACTTAACATATGATAACAGTCAGATACATTATGGGATGGGACATGAGAGAAGAAAAGAGGTCATAAAACAGTCTATCAATCAAGATAAAACAAAAACCCAACACACATACACTATGATCCTTAGTAATCATCCGACTTCCTGAACCAAAAAAAAAGTCCCAAACAATCATCTGGGTTCTTGTGTGGCCTTCTCTCATGTGGCCTTCTCTCATGTGGCCTTCTCTCATGTGGCCTTTACTCATGTGGCCTTCACTCACGTGGCCTGCTGGGTTTCTCAATATCATTTCATGCTGGTTATTTTGCTCTGAATAAAGTCTCCTTGCTATTTTGCAAATCTACATGTGCTTATTTCAACGCTTTGAATAAGATACCAAGAACCTGGAGTCACTTGGCCTAAATCCCAACCACATGTAGCAAGACTCCGGCAGATGCCAGCCAGTCAAGTAAATAGATAATTGCTGAGTTTCCCCAAATCTCGGAAAGACTGGAGGCCTCAGATTAGAGGTGTGCCCCAGGGCCAAACAGAACCATAAATCCAAATCTGGATGCACTTCTATAAAACCACAGAAGGTCAAAGGTAAGACAAATGCTGAGAGTCAATGGAGAGCCTCTGTGGTGCACAGCTGCAATCCCAGCATCGGGGGAGCCAGGCAGAGAGGGCAAGAGCTCCAGGCCAGGCTGGGATACAGAGTGAGAGCTTGAGTCACCCCCAAAACAAAACAAAGGAGCTGTGGGCATACCTCAGTGGTAGAGGCTTCAGCACATACAAGGCCTGAGTTTAAAGACCAGCACTGCCAAAAATAAATAAATAAGGCAAAAAACATAATAAAATAAAAACCATGGTAGCACATTTCTTTTAATCCCAGCACTCAGGAGGCAGAGGCAGGTGGATCTCTGTGGTCTACATATGGAGTTCCAGGCCGGCTAGGGCTACATAGTTAGACTATATCTCAAAAACAAAGTCAGAGTGCAAAGATGTGTGTGTAAGAAAACAGGTAAAATTACTGTCTTATTTGGAAGGAAAAGCGACCACACATTATTCCACAACTACAAGGAAGACTAGCTACTCCATGGCTTCTAATTCAGATCTAGTTGTGGTAAGCCTACAAATCATCAATACTAATTCTCAGGGTATTTTTACCCTCATCTTGATTTTTAAAGTAATAATTTTAAGAACATTTACATTTTTATCCAAAAGATAAACACCAACTTCTTTCTCATTGCTGGGATCAAATTCAGACTCTGTGTATGGTTGGCAGATGCTCCACCATTAGGCAACATCCCCAATATTAAATTGGGGGAGGAGGGAAGACATATTCCGTTTAAATGAAAAAACTTACACCAGAAAATCTTATGAGACTTACGTTTTTCCATTCCACTCCACAATTTTTGTAAAGTTGAGGTAATTGTCTTCTCCAGTTAGAAAAACATAGTCTCCATCATTAGTTCCATTTTTCTGAAAATGAATGAATGAATATCACAATTTTTAAATTGGTAAAATATAAGCACTAAAACAAAAAAAAACTTTTGAAAGACTGGGATAATTTGAGTGTACTCTGATCCTCAAATTACCCTGTGAAAGCTGTGTTCTGTGAGATGGGACATTCTAGGGAACACGTATTCAAGCTGCTCTCCCAGAATGAAGGAAGCAATGTTGGTGAGACTGGACTTTCGGGACCCAGTCTCTCACAGAAGTTGTATTTAAAACTTGCTGATAATTGTGTTTGAACAGCCTCGAGCTTTTGTAAACCCTTAAGGCCTGCCCTCTGCAAGAGAGGAAGTGAAACGCTACTGAGCGTTATGCTTTGAGCACGAGACCTTGGACAGTCACGAGCCAGAAGATGAGCAGACCACTCCACACCTACCTTAATGCTTTACTCCTGGGGTTAATTTTATCTATTACCGACTGTTCATTTTACTACAGTTTCTTCCCTCCCCCTCCAAAACTACTGTCTTATTTTTCACAGACTTTTAGAAATATTTAGAACTCCGGGCAATTTTGGCCTTCACCTACAAGAAAGCCAGACTCAAGATGCACTCTGTCTTGCGTGCCCTCTTCCCACTGTGAACTGAAGTGGAGGTTCTAGGAAGAAACCTTACCTCATAGAACAGGCCAAAGTTAGGGGAGACGTCAGGCTTGAAAATATGGACGAGGGACAAGATCTCATCTTTGTAGCCCCAGAGCAGTTCATGCACAGTGTGGGTCACAAACAGCTTCTGCTGGTAGGTCTTCAGCATGGCCTCAATGATCTCCCGGAGGAGGGGCAGCTGGGCCAGTTCCACAACAGTCTGCAGAGCAGAGGCAGGTTAACCAGTGACTCCTCCAAAACACCCACCTGGCTCTCTTCCTGCCCCTCAGCAGAATGGGCCAGAATCTGAGCTGTAAATGTTTGAGACTCATCAGAAAATCCAACCAGTGACCTCCCTGTCTGTGTGGATAAGAGTTCAGCTACAGCCCTTTCTCGTGTGTGTGTGTGTGTGTGTGTGTGTGTGTGTGTGTGTGTGTGTGTGTGTGTAGACTCCATGGCCTTGCACATGGTAGACAAACCCTCTACCACTGATCTCTATCCCGAGCCCCAGTCCTCTTTTGTAAATTTTGAGATGGTCTCATTTTGAGACAGTCTCACTAAGTTGCCCAGGCTAACCTTGAACTCACTCTGGAGCCCAGTCTGAGCTTTTTAATCCTTCAGTTTCTGCCTGGGAAAGGAGCTGGGATTACAGGCTGGGACCACCAGGTCAGGCTTTCAATTCATTTTTATTGTAACCTGAATTTAGAATTCCCATTCACAGAGATCTTATAAACACATAGAGACCTTTGGCCACAAGGTGGCTCCAGTTCCCCTGGACAGACTGGTGCCTGAGCCTTTAAACTCTACATCTTTAGCAGCAGGACAAGGCAAGATTTAGACCCTGGGCCCATCAGTGTCAAGCAGCAGACACTTGAGTGTGGGAGCCTCAGAGGAGGTTGGTGTAAGGGATTAAGGAAGTTCCCTAGAGAGCTAGGGATGTGGCTTCCTGGGTAAAGCAGCCCCTGACTCCGCACCCAGCCATTCAGGAAGTCCAGAGTTTGATACCTAGCACCAAATTAAAAAAACAAAGCCAGCCTGGACTACAAGGTGGTAGGCCAGCCTGGGCTACGAGACCCAGTTTCAAGAGAGGAGAACTCTAGGTCTCAGGATGGCATAAGTACCAAAACATTCGCTACTTATTTGCGTAAATGCTAATCCTGAACACAAAGGAAAAATCCCAGAGACCTAATCTTTGAATAACTTTTGAAAGGACCTTATTTTATAGCCCTGAGAAAAAAGTTTATATCTATATACTTAATAAAGTACATATCCATGAATGGCTTGCGAGGCATTGCCACTGGAGCGTGCCCATAATTCAAACACGAGGCAGACGAAGGAGAATTGATGTAGCAAGCTGGAGGCTAGGAGGGCCACACACACACAAACAAATCAAAGTCTTTGTGTATGTCCATTTTTATTTGTGTTTGTTTTTGGTGGCATTGGGATCAAATTCAGGGACTTGTCATGCTAAGCAAGATGAGCCCCCCTCCCCCGCCCCGTAATATCTAGATTTTCTCATAAAATAATAGCTTTTAAACTACATAGAATCCTATCAGGCTTGCCATTTTCCCTTCTGCAAACCTAAGATACCACAAGGCCTACTTACCAACAGAGGAATATTTACTGTCCTAATCAAGTCAACATTAGGGTCGCCAACTGATTGGTTTCGTTCAAAAACATATGCCTTATTGCTGACAGCAGATATGGTTGTTCCATTCTCTCCGAACTGGATGTTTGCCTTGTTTCTGAGTTCCCTAAACAAACAAGCAGACAAAACATTATTTGAAAATAGATTCCACACTAACAAACAAGACCTTTCCCTCAGTTCAGTATTAAAGTTACATTTTCTTCAAAGTAACATTTCTAAAAAAAATGATTATTTACATAGGCTGTTGATATTCAGCCCTTCAAACTACAGATTAGAGCTGAGACGCTGGGAGGGGATGAGGTCTAGGAGACACTTCTCAAAATCTATTGTTCCCACTTTCTTTTTTTCTCCCAGAATCAGGGAGATATAATAGTCAAACAATGAGCTCTTTCCTGAATTATAACTTGATCCTGAAATATTTTCAGTTCAGTTCACAGGTTCTATTTGTTTCAGTCTGTATACTGGTGGCTTTGATTCCAACTTGAATTCAGTTCTAAATTTATTTTAAAAACTGAGGCCACAGGTGGGCAGTGGTGGCATATACCTTTAATCCCAGTACTTTTGAGGCAGACGCAGGCAGACCCCTGTGAGTTTGAGGCCAGCCTGGTCTATAAAGCAAGTTCCAGGACAGCCGGAACTGTTACACAGAGAAACCTTGTCTCAAAAAACAAAACAAAACAAAAAAATTGAGGCCACAGCCGGAACTGTTACACAGAGAAACCTTGTCTCAAAAAACAAAACAAAACAAAAAAATTGAGGCCACATGTGCCATGTTTGTTGGCACATGTCTGCAATCCTAGAACTCAAGGGGCTGAGGCAGGAGGATCACTGACAAGTTTGAGGCCAGCTTGGTCTACAACGTAGCAAGACTATCTTAAAAAGTTTAAAAAAAAAAAGTGAGGCCTAAGGAACTGAGGGTATAGTTGCAATGGGCGAAGGGGGGGAGGGGGCTTGTAGATCAGAGAGACAAAGACAGACAGAGACAGGTAGAGATGAAGAAATGAACTGGGACCAACATAGTAAGTTGGAGCTTATTCCCATTTCTGTGCATAGTTCAGTTTAGTTCAAGTCAGTCCCCCAAAATGAGGCATTATGAAATCCCTTAGAAAGAGGTTGGTGTACAGTAACAGTCATTGACATTGATAATTACTTCTAAAGAGCTAGCTAGTTGAGGAGGTTTCTCAATGCTACCAACACAAAGCTATGACAAGTATCTGAGGTGACGGATATGCCATTTACTCGGAACTAATCTTTAAATATTTGCACCCTATAAATTACTGTGTCAATTAAAAAGCACATCTCTCCAAGTGCTGGGGCTGGGTGGGTGTGACTGTTCATGCCTGTGACCCCAGCACTCGGGAGGCTGGGAGAGAGAGAAGACCGAGAGTTGGAAGCCAGCCTAGCCTATGCAGTGAGACCCAGGCTTCTACAGTGTGACACTTGGTCAAAAAAGGGAGTGGGCCGGGCTGGGTATGTGGGCCTAGAGTGAATTCGAGGAAGAACTCACTGGAGGCATGAAATGCAAGATGCATCAAAGGTAATCAAGATGGTAACACTTTAATGCAGTATTCATTTTTTTCTAAATTTGGTGGGGCTTTTTGTTCTGTTTTGTTTGAGATAGGATTTGACTCTGGCCTCCAACCGGGGGCAATCCTCCTGTGTCAGCCTCCCAAGTGCTAAGATTACAGGCACGCACCATTACATCTATCTAGAAAATCTCTAGTTACATATGTAGTTAACAAAATGTCATCTAAGAGACTATAATCACATACAGGTTAGAGGAGCATGGACAGCTGGGCCATGACCACTTCCCCCGCAGGCCCTTTCTGACCACGGCAGTTCTTGGGGATTTTTTTTTTTTTTCATCCATCTGCCTAGGTATGGAGTTTGCTAACTTAGGCACTCAGTTCTAAACCTCTGAGTGACATCATTTAGATGGGGAAGGAATTACCATGTAGCCTACTGGCAAGCAAGCAGATGGCATTTAAAACCCAAACAAACGGCCCCGCCATGTAGTTCTGGCTGGCCAGGAACTCACTCTACAGATCAGGCTGTCCTCAGACTTGCAGTGACCCTCCTGCCTCTGCCTTCTGAGAACTCAGATTATAGCTGTGCACCCGTGCGCCTGATACTTTCTAGACTTAAAATAAGAATAGCTAAGACAATAACAAAGGCACATGTAATAAACAGGCGTACACAAGAACAGAAGAATAGACAAGCCTTTGAATGTTCTATAGCACAAGGTACTGCGCTGTGCACAGTAGCCATGAGGATCTGACCCTTGCAGGGCCCATCCCAGGGCTGGAGAGAATCCAGATGTGAAGCCAAGCGGTGGCTGACAAAAGTCAGCGAGGTGTAACCAATGAATGCCTGTGACCCAGGCCAAATGGAAATCACTGTGAGAGAGAAAACAATCACATGCTTTCTGGGAATAGATAATGCATCCGGTGGAGATGGCTGTGTTCAAACACATGTACAGCCTGAAGTTCAGAGCTTTGCAGTCACTTCTGCTGCTGAGTTCCAGCCCCCTTTCTTCTGTGGCAGCCTGGTTTCCTTTCCCCTCAGTCCTGGACCACTCAGGGTGCTGAGGGCCTGAGGGTGGCACGTCCTCTGGGCTCTCCATCTGGACCACAGGGCTTCAACACATACACACACACATCCTCAAGGCCTAGCATCCTCCTGGTGGGGCCCGTGGGATCTGATAAAGCACACACTCCTATGACTTAGATCTTTAGCTTATTTTGGGGGTTGTTTCGTTTTGTGTTTTGAGGCAGGGGGTTCCCTCCATAGGCCAGGCTGTCCTTGAACCAGCAATCTTGCCTCAGCTTTCTAAGTACTGGGGTTCCAGGTGTGTCCCCCAGGCCTGGCTTGTAGCATGGATCTTTACACCTGCCCTGTGTCCTAAGCTGTTCCTTTGATCTTCTGTTAGCCTACTTTACATCCCTCAAACAGGTTCTCCTGACTCCCATCGAAGAGATACTTTCCCTTGTTTGAGATCAAACATTCCTCCTCTGGGAATCACAGCCTAGTCACGGTGGCTAAGAAGACAATTTGGGGGACCAAGCAGGTTTAAAGTCTTGGACACCTGACCTCATATTAACTACTTGTTCACAGAAGTTAATTCAAAGTGATTAGAATTGTTAGAAGACAGGGAAGGAGAGGAAATTTCCAAGCCAAACACTTGTTCAGCCAAAGCTGGTTCCTATACAGAAGGCTTCACCAGGTCCCCTCCTGAGTGCCTATGTTGAGGTCAAGGACAAACCTTCTTCAGGGGACTTGTGATGATGGTTACTGAGTACCCACACTGATCCACATCTCAGTGAGGAGGCAGAACAGTGGCCAGGTAATCACCAATTTGAAAGCCAAGGGAGCTGGTCCAGGGAGCTGAAACTGTCACTCAGATAGTCCTAGAAGTTCAGGGGTCAACGTGGTCATTTCCTAATGCCAAAATCAGGGGCTTTGCTAAGCATGTTTTACTTATTTGTCTTCTTCTCTCAAGTCTTAGTTCAGGAACCTAAAGGCCTGAATAATCTCAAGGCTAAGGCCTGCTTCACTTAGATTTATGTACATAACATGGACAGAAGAGATAACCTTTAACCTGTTGCCTTTATTGTTTACCCTGTGGAAATCTGATGTCTAAGGGGCAACTGAGGCCAAAGATGCCATCAATTTAGGCCTATAACCTGACTGGGTTTCTTAATAAAGTTCAACAGGTCAAAGGTTTTCTAATATGACTCCTGTGGGACGCTGACTCGGTTGGTCTCCTCGTGACAACCTCATGATTTCCCTCAGCTATCTGGAGTCCTCCACCCACCATCCTTCGGCATCACTGGCTCCTGGCCTTTACAGAACTCGGTACATGAAAAAAAAGACAGTAAGACGTGGAGGGAGAGGAAGAGAAAGAGGGGGCAGGAAGCCTTCCTCTCAAAACAGCGTGTGACAGGCCAAAGAAACCAAAGTCTTGCTCTGGCAGTGCTCAGACAGGCAGGAAGGAGGGGCTGTGACAATGGCAGTAAATCTGATTAGCAGCACGCATGTGCGTGTCATACATAAAAATGCACGCCAGCCACCAGCTGATCAACAAGAGCCAGTGTGAATCAGTGGAGCTGCTGGTAAACTGCAGACCGAGAGCAAGCAAGGATCAGATTACTGTCAGCCACGGTAGAGAAGACCCAAGAACTAGCCAGAGACACCGACAACAGCTTACATCAGAAACAAAGGCAATTTTGGGCCTAGACAACGAATTAAGGAATTGTATTTCCAACTGCCCTGTGCTTCAGTGGATGACAACAATCTCAGACTATAGTTTAATGTAAATCACCATGGTGGAGAGAGAGAGAGAGACAGAGACAGAGACAGAGAGACAGAGAGACAGAGAGCCAAGAGTGGGAGCCACATCTGTAGTCTCTGCTCTGGGGAGGCTGAGGCAGGAAGATTTCAAGTTTGAAGATAACCTGGGCTATATGGTGATACTTGTCTCAGAAAGAAAGGAAGGGGGAGGGAAAAGAGAGTGGATGAAAAGCCTAGTGTGGTTCTTGCATGTAATCTCAGCACTACGGAGGCTGAGGCAGGAGGCAGGAGGATTACTTGGACCTAAGAATCCAGAAGTTTCAGAACACAGTTCACCTATACCAAAGCTCTGTTGAAAACAACATCAAAAACCGAACAAAGAAAGGAGCAGGAGAGGAAAGAGAGAGGCCTGGCACCACGGCGGCCTTCACTGTAGTCTCCGGCTCGAGAGACTGAAGCGGGATGGCTGTAAATTCCAGGTCAGCCTGGGCTGCAGAGCGAGACTGTCTCCAAAGCAAACAAAAGAAGAAAATGTTTGAGCTATCCCCCGTAAACTACTGAATCCCACAGGAAGGAAGACCACATGGAATACAAAAGAACCATTTTAATTTGCTGGAAAGCTCAACAGCTGTGCATCCAGCGCCTCTGAGATGTCGGATAAATCAGGTTGTGCAATGCTGTTAGGAAATTCTTATCTTGGCTAGGGATGGGGACACAGCTCAGTGTTGTGGGAGCACTTTCCGAGCATGCCCGAGGACAATCCACAACACCACGAGGAAGGCAAGCAAGTGATACCCTCACATTTTAGTCCTTTGG